TGAAAGACCCATACGCTCGATTGCTACTTTGTTTTGGGATCGTAACTATGAATCCATGTTTCATCACCTGTTACTATGTCCCACACCAAATTTGACGCCCCTTCGTTAAATCTGGTAAGCATGGCATTGCACCAAGTGACGCGATCCATTTTTTAAGCCTCAGTCAAATTGTGTGGGGTCCACTGAGAGCACAGCTTTTTCACACACAAATGTTTGTGTAGTATTGAATGTATTTGACTCATGCCTATGCCTAAAGATGCCCGAATCTCATGGCATGTCACATGCCTGTCTGTTTTGTTCATACGGTGCACAGCATCGATGTTTTTGTTGTTCACAGCAATGGACGGGCGACCATCACGAAATTAGTCGCTGAATTTCACACGACCGCGTATGACTTCTGCAAACCAGCTATAAATAGTCGTCTTGCATGGTGCTTCATCGTCAAAAGCAGTTTGAAGCCGAGTGAAGCTGCGCTGAGCTGTTAAATTACACTTAAAAATTGTAGAAAATTATAGGTACTACAAAAATTTTCACGAGTTAAATCCATGGTGATGTAGTCAACCAATTTCTAAAATGACGCCACAATGTAAAAACAAGTGACAGTCAGATGAAACATACTGTATTCTACAGCCAAAGAATTCCATTTTCAAATATTGTAATTACTTTTTAAATATTGTTTATGTAAGTGGCCACTTCCGGAAACTTATGGTGCGCCCTATGTAGTACCTAATAATGTGTATTGATTTGTAAGTGACAGATTCATGGTGTCGATATCACGTCAACATCACGACACGTAGATTGTGTTTTACTTAAATTTAAAATGGAGTTTTGAATTTACTTTATAATATTGAATTATTCTCAAATGTGTACTTGAACAATTTTCGCCGTTTAATGCGTAAGAAAAGTTAACTCAATTCTATGTTATATAGGTAATCAAAATGTCTTGTAGTCTATTTATCATTGTTTGGCGCATATATATCAATAAAAGGTTATTTAATAAGATTCATGTATTTAGGTTAAATTTTTTTATACGGAATAAATTTACCGTTATCTTTATCACAATGTATAAAATATTGATTCCAAAGTATGTACTTACTAAATTAATTTCAAATTGTAAATAATCTCAGTACTAAAAATGCCGAATTCTCGCGCATGCTTGAGAATGCTCGCGCATTCCGCGGAAGATTTTGGCTCGTATGTAGTTTACGTTATACAATCCATCATACAGTTCATTATGCTATGTACAATATCGTTACAAACATTAGTTTGCCATTCCGTACCGCCGCAATATAAATCGAGCCTTACGTTGGAAATTAATGCTAATAAAATCAGGGCATGTCTTGTGTTACAATATGTACCTTATCAATTACAATAATCCCATTATTATAAGTCATTCGTTAGTTTTGAATAATGGTCCTACCACTTCACAGATATAATGTACGCACCTTCATTAAACTACGCTATAATCGTCGTCATCTATAGTGATAAATCTTAACATAAGTAGGTACCTATGTAATTTACTGTTTGGCTTCTAAGTTTGTTGTATTTTCTAAATCATAGTTTCCTAAAGTGTCCCTATCGCCTCTCACAGTGGGCGCTGAAGAGTCCTAGGGGGCGGCAAAGGCCTCTGAAGCAATTGGGGGGCGTTGAAGCTGTCCGGGGGTATACCGCATTTGAAAAAAAAATTGTCTTCTGTATTCTACACATATATATGGAAATTCTACACTACACTACATATACATATAGTATATTGCCTTGTGATTTTTATGTTAAGTTAAAAAAAATGTGTTTTCTATGTTATTTTTTGTGGTAGTGCGCGTTATTTTTTTTATCTTGCCTAAGTGTACTTGCCTGACCCAAAAAGTTTGGGAACCTATGTTCTAAATAAAGGAGCAACGGATCAACTAAATCTCAACATTTTAAAAGAGAAATCGGCTCCAAGCTAAAGTATATTAAATGAATGTTTTCGGCACCGCCGAGAATGGTACTTGAAATTTAGTAAAAACTAAACAATTCGTCACGCTGTTTCGTCTTTTTTTTCGTATATGCAGTACTATTCAGATATTTAAATCGCTAAGTTCTGCGGGGCACTGTCACTGCGCCTGTCACCGTGAGACACATGTTGACAAGCCTCATGAGCTTGTAATTCATCAGCAGCTTGATTTGATTGCCTCTCCTGATCGGAAACTTCAAAAGTTTTTCAAATCGTAACAATAGTTGATTTAACTCACAAATTAGAAAGATATAGTACGGAATCAGGTTCATCTTGTCGCTCGGAAACCCATCTGATTTCTAGACTACGATGGGCTACCCGATTTCGATTTGAATCAAAATCAGCCTGCAGCACCCTTATCCTTCAAAATCAGAGCTCAGCTATGCTCACGTTATTGCTTGGCTGCAGAAACAGGTAAGGGGGCAGTAATTCCCAGGACAACTTTTTCACAAGGAGCTCTGCTGTTGCCAAACATGTTTGGAAAGATGATTGGATAACATGGTTGGATGCGGGAATATGTTCACAGATTTTGCGATTTTTTTCCGGAATCTGTTAGCCAGTTCGATATTTTGTTAAAAATACCACTATTTAAATGCTTTCCGATCGCAAAAAGTGCCTACCACGTTAGCAAATAAAGATAGTTGTTAGGTTTTTTTTTTATAATATCAAGCGACGGGACGAACCAGTTGTGCACCCGGTGCTAAGCGACACGCCTGTACATAATAGTTGCAGTAGTGCCATTCAGAGCTTTGATAGCAAAAGTATTGTGGGCACTGCCACTGCGCGCGTCACCCTAGTATATTAGTTGGCAAGTCCCATGTGCCTGTAATTTCATCAACATCCTTACCCTTCTAAACCGGAACTCAGTAATGCTTACATTACTGCTTGGCGGCAGAAACATGTAAGGTGGCAGTACTCCCCTGGATGAACTCTTTCACAAGGAGATCCACTGCTACTCAATGGTTTTACGAGTCCCCAAATTAGGAGTAAGTAATAAACCGGTGTTGTAGAACTTAGGTACTTAATGCGATGATGATGTACAGTCAATTCTATGTTGTGAATCGATCGTTTTGTCGTAAAGCGCAAGTCGAATTATAATTTATTATAAATCATGAAGTATGCACTCGAAATATCGATTTTCTAAACAGCTAGAGTGAGTTAATAAAATGACATTAGATATATGGAGCTATTTCTACACGTTACCTTTACTTGCATATTGCTTACCTTGATCAAATTAAAATATAAAAAAACTTTTCTTACATACAAAATATTAAGTACATATTTTATATAAATTTGAAGTATGCTAACCGAACGTTACGTACATTACCCTCATAAACATGAAACATCCTCGTTCTATTTACGTAAATAATAATTCAGAGTAAAATAGTAAACCGGTTTAAGCTAAGGGTTTGTATTCCCTCCTTTTCTTCACAAAGAAAATATAACAAAAAAGTATAAATCAAGTAATTATGCACATAGATAGTGGCTGTGTACTAAAATGAAGACGAGAACTGCAATTGGATCTTGAATAACGACTCAATGTCAATGCCAATGCCAATGTCGTACAAAAAATAAAAAAATACTTAATATTTATCAAAACGCTATTTAAGTAGCTTTGCCGCTTTTCCGAAATGCAGCTGTAAATCTAGAAAAATGAATATTTTGTGAACACTTGTTGTAAATTTTTTTAACGCTTAATAGCACAAAAAATATTTTTGAAATGTAGTTAACTATGCACATTATATTTACAAAAAATCAGCTGTTAATTTAGTGGGATATTATCTGCAACATGCGTGTCGAAAGTTTATTTTTATATCCAGAACGCCTGAAATTTTGATAAAACCAAAAATTTTGGAGATACTAGCATTAAAATTTCAATTTGATTGAATACAACACTTTTTTGGATTTTTTAACATTGTGCACTGCCTAAACGGGTACCTACTCATATACACTTTCCATTTTGGAGCAATAGCATGTTACATATACCTAAAAGTCGAAAATGAAAAATGTCGATCACGATAAATGTACTTTCTATCTAACCTATATTACAGAATTCTATGCAAGTGTTCTTTGTAGTGCCTAAGTAAATACATTGCTTTGGAGTTTCCGTAAGTTGGGTATTTATTTATAAAGAGTTAATCAGGATAGTCAAGGGTTTGCGAAAGAGCCTTAAATAATATACTAATAATAATAACTCTAGTGATTTTCCTGGTGAAGCTGAGATAGACCTATTACGATTAATTTTGTTATGGTAACTGCAAGTATAAGGATGACATTCTAATTAGCTTTTATACAAACCACATGGTTTGTTAGCTACATTAAATTTCATGATTATTTAATTAGCGGTAATCATTATTCATGACAGTCAGTGTGAGATTAAAAACAAAAGAAAACTATCGCCTTTTAAATTTTGGCGCGTACGTAGTGGTGAACGATATTAGTGTCACGTGACCGTCATCGATCCAATGGTTGAGCGCGTCTCGGGTCCATTCAACTCGGTGTCGAGCGGTGCGCCGAGGAGAGAGACACTTCACAACACCAATTCTATTCATACATAGGAGATATTTATATATTGCCATCTCTCTCTAACGTATTGAGAAATAATAAAATGAATGGTGAGCGAGTGAAAAGGAGATATTCGAGTGGAAATTATTGAAAGCTGCTGTGCTGGGGCAGGCCAGTCGCCATGTAGAATTTTCTGATGTGGGTGTTGTGTCTCAGAACGTCAAACGCTTCAATGATTATTATTTTCAAGTGGACGTTATAACTTTTGTGTAATTCGTCACCTTAGTATCAAGACTGATGGTATTTCAAAGTGTTTCGTGGACCTATTTCTTTGTGATCGTAAGCGATTACGATGTGATGACGGCAGATAATAAATTGGTGGGGGGCTGCTGAAATACTACGCTAGGATAGTAACAACGTTTTACAACTCGAATCGTGATCAGAGCGCTCATAAAATTGTTCAACTCGGTGCGGACGGGCTTCCATTTTGTTTTATGTGGTTGGCTTGTTTACTTGGAGCGGCTGCGAGCTGGCGACAATGGAAAGCGACGGTGAGTACCCGTTGTAGTAAGAGATGGAAAAAATGTCCTGCGCATATAAGCCGTAGCGCTCAAGTCGCGACAATAACATGGATAAATATCTGTATAGCGTTACATTTTGTGCATCGTGGTTGTGTTGTGATGCGGCATGCGGGCGCGGCGCAACATCGGTTCTATCACTGCACGGTGGATTCCAAGCGGTGTGGTAAGTTCGACGCGGTCTCAGCCTCACGGCAATCAATTAACTAATTGATTCTCATCTGCAAGAATGCGCCGCGCGAGTGCAGCCGCCTGCGTGCCCTTATCAGCTGATTACAGCTAATACACCGCCACAACCTTGCACCACGAAATGTTTTTATACGTTCATTGCATTCACTTACGCCTTACGTGATATACAGATTTTATGACCGTTGGATATTTTGGGCTACAATTGCATGAATTTCGTCACGATGTAAAGCAATCTCGCTGTACATTCCAAATTGTCTTTTGTGAGTAATTTTCTAATACACAATTGTCCCTAGCATCAAATTAGGCCCTATTTACCGTACATACCAATAATTATTGAATTTGTTGACCAGTTGTCATGATAGACATAAACAATGGATGTTTATGATACCTCTGTTTTCTTAGGTCAAATCTTTACAATAGCTATAGTCTTAATACCTACCACTAACAGAGTAATAATTGTATTTTGATTGAATCACCTTGAAGTTATACCTATTGTGTGAACTGCATTTTTAATGTATTTTATTACATATACCTAATTAAAATCTGTCAATGAATTCAGGAAACCAGGTGATCAACATATTTAATAACATTTACCTTATGGGTTTATGAACATACTCTGTTTTATGAACCTACAGCTTAGAACAGCACTATGAAAAGCTCTCAACAACATTTTTAGAGAACTAATAAAGTTTGTCATTGTTTTTATTTACAAATGCTTAGTAGTATTATTTTTAAAAACCCTGTGTCACCTGTTATAGGTATTGGGGTGGTAATTTGCCAGTTTTGCCACCCTATTATTACATCAGTGCCACACGTTCATTAACCTGGTCTAATAGAAAATTAGACCAGGTATAGGTTTTCGGTTTTCTGCAGGTTTCCATAATTTGTTTATATCAATTGATGTGATTAAAACCAAAAATAAGGTATGAGTTTCTCAAATAAACAATAAGCTATCTGATAGTACTGCTGTAGGAGTGTATCGATGGTAATGTGACCATTATTGAGGATAGCTGCTGTCAACATCACTATATATGTGGTATATATTTGTGGTTAATTTTAGTCCAGTAACCTATTTTTAGATAATGGTCTGGGCTTTGAATGTGTTGATGGATGCGTGTATTCATTGCATAGTTATTTTTTGTGGCTTATAAATTTGAATAAACAAGATGACATACATAAATGCTTCCTGCCTCCCAGTTACAACATTTACAACACTAATGAGTGGCAATGTTTATTAATTTTGACAATTTCAAATGTAATTTGGTGGACAAATTTATTTGAAATGGTCAAGCATAAAGACATATTTCTCATTCTCCTAATCAGTTGCTTGCATGAACAATATATCATCAGCGTACAAGCATCCACTGCTGGCCATAAATCTTCCCCTAAGCAGGCCAACTCTCCCGGTCCGTGTTGCCCACATCCGGCCACTGCAAGCCACCTTTCTCAGGTCGTCCATCCATCTGACCACACGGACAATTTGGGAGTGTATATTTTCTCTCTATAAATTAACTACTATAATAACTAGCTTAAATATTTTACCAACCCATATATTGCTCAGTATGAGTTTTGTCTGATATGTATTGTGGATGCTATTTCAACCCCATCTAATAATAAAACATTAAAGCTGTGGTTTTTTTTTGGAATTTGTGTACTATTATCGGGAAAAATTAACAATTTTAATGTCTGTTAATTTGGTAACATTTTTTTATAATATCAAGTGATGTAATGAACAAGTCATGTGACCAGTGGAAAGCTACACGCCTGTCCATTTGTTTAAATCGCATTAGATCTGAGGGGCACTGCCGCTGCATCTGTCACCCTGAGACAAGTTGACACATCTCATGCGCCTGTAATTTCACCACATTTGCTGATAGTCAGTTGTGAGCTTGAGACCTGTAAAGAACCCTTGTTTGAAAAAACAAAATTTTGCAATGTTAGATCTGGAAAAAAATTTTGTTTCCAATGTAATAAAATTGTCAGTAAGTTATAAAGGTTAAGTTCAAACAAAATTTCGAGATAAAGGCGTTGTTGTCAATTTGGTAACTTGATGTTTACCATAATTCCTAACATTCATAGATAAGTTCATACATTAATTATTATAAACGATAACATGTAGGTACGTCATTTTTAAAGGTGGCGGAATTATAACCTGTAAACATTTACCGACGAATATGGTGAACTGATAAGGATTTTGTCCTTTCATCTGCGAAACACTAAACTTTTGTTAATTAATGTTAAAGGCAGCTACGTACATCAGATTAAGATGTATGATGGTAATGATATGCATAATCTTATTGAATATCTAGTATGTATGCACTAGATACTTAATAAGAAGAAGATTAAGATTTTTCATGCTTTTTGCTGGTATTTACAATCCGCTTACTGGTGTCAGTCATCATTGCCTACAAAGGTGTAACTCAGCTACTATCATATGACATGTGCTCAGTGTTTATTCTTTTACATATGCAAGTGTTTTGCTGTGCGCCTTTTGTAAAATTACATACATTATTATTATGTTCTACTTAAACATTTGATTTTTATTCCAGACATCATTAATGAGTACTGTAAAAGACGACCATGATGGCAGGTTACGAGATTAGTACGATATTTTCGAGGAAGTATTGTATTAGTAGTTGCTTTGCTGAAGAAACTTACATATTTGTCTAGAATCTCTGAAGTCAGTTAGGTCAGTCTGGTAGTGCACTGTGCTCGATCTTAATACAGTGTTGTTAGACTTGCCGTGATTAGTCCCACTAGTAGGGTGGAGGACTGAAATTTATTCAGATGTTTCTCTTGCTCTAATAACACATGTGGGAAAGAGAAAACAACAGTGGCTGAATTGCTGTATTTGAACCAAGACCCTCATGAAGCACTGTAGTACTAAAAAACATAATGTTTATTACCAAAGTGAAAGGTTCGAGCAACCCGCGTCAAGTTCATGTACTTAGTGACAAATATGCAACATAATTTAGTGTGATTTGATTATTTTTGTCTCCACGAATTAATGAAGTTTCATTATGATGGACTGCAATAGGGTTGTGTGGAATCGCAATTCTGGTATTAAATATATGATACCGAGAAAAATAAAATGTTTAATATACAAATGCGTGCAGCATCTGAGTCTATTAAAGTCATGTACAGTTCAAGGAAACATACATGCCTGAGGAGGGTCAGAATTCTTCCAAGAGTGCAACACAATAATGGCAACCTTAAAAGGAAACCAGTGCTCAGTAGTGTGCTCTACATTTAATGGTAATAAACATGACATGATGATGATATGACATGTACTGCTTATGTATCTAGCTATGAAGTAAATAAATCCAAAGGGTTAAAACAACATCTCGTTAGATAATATATTTTGTACAACACGGTGCCACAAAAACATGGTCATTGGATTAATCTTATCGCAGTTGTAATCCCAACTGCGGATGCAAGTCCGGCCAAGGCTGAACACCGTGATCGGACATGTTTCGACAAAGTTTAGTAAGTTTCTCCTCACTTTAAAACGGTATAATATTATTTGATCCGCAAAGATATAATTGACCTATTTTGTGAAATGTGCACTTTAAAAAAAGAACGATATTTTTTTGTTTTTGATATACCTATGTATTAATTGTTCCAGGCGGAACAATAAATATGTAATAATATATTAGTTGATCTACAGATAAATTATAAATGAACTTTTAGCATTTTAGCATTCAAGGTAACACTATCATTATATTTGAGCATACTAAACTAATATTTGGTATTCGAAAATAATGTTCGATGCTCTTTTGTCACATAGGTCAAATCTTGGTTGCGCCCTCCATTCAATAGCTTAGGTATATGAAAAAGCCGAGCCGAGTCGAGTGAGCGTAGCGAGCGTGTCGCGGAAGCGGCCGGAGAGTGCCAGAGCCGAATTTGCTTGCGTTTCCGAAAATGGTTAATTATATTATAATTAATATAATATTAGTATAACTAAATATTTTAGTAAATCAAAATAAAAAAGTATTTTAGTAAATTTTATTTTTAATGCTCATTTGTCTTAGTTTTGAGGTCCAACATGAAAGTATCAAAGTTAATTAATACATATCGAACATTTTTTGCGTAGCTCAGAATGATTTAAATATCTATTGATTTAAATTATTTTATGTCTCAGGGAAATAGGATTAATGATATTATACTTGTAAACAAGGATCATTCATTAAAATAGATGACTGTTTAGAATTTTTCGCCTGCTGCTTTTGCAATTTTAAAATGCCATTTAAATACATGCCCTTGAAAACTGATACACTATTTGATTTCCAACTATCCTTATTGATTCTCATACCGGACGGCGTAAAAAACAGTAATTAGAGAAGTTCTAAAAAGGCTGCAACACACTTTTGTGGTCACATATCATGTGATAATTAGCATCCGAAAGATAAAATACTAAACATCGCCTCAGGCCTACATAATTTGTAGCGTTATCTTATGATGTTGTTTATACAACTACTTTTGTTATGTGACTTTTTACTATTAAACATAAAACATTTACCAAGAATAACTTTTAAGTTTTTTTACTATCTGACACTTTTTAGATCTGTATTTAGTAGTAAGGTAGATAGTTAAAACGTGCAAATGCCCTCCCCGAAAATCCCCACCCCCGCTCCTGCGTTTTGCATCGGAATAGTATTTACGCTAGCGTTTTCTTTTGTTACCGCACAGAGTTATTATCGTTTAGAGCTATCTATAAAAGTCATGAAACAAAAGTTGTTGTTTGTGATGTCACTAAAGTACACGTTAGACACTTAAAAAACAAA